ATCGTGTCTCCTCTTCCCCAAATTGTCCATTTTAGCGGACAATCCGAGCGTCAGTAAGGGAGACATTACTGTAGTTACCGATTCGACGACAACCATAACCAACGAGCCGCGAGGCTCGAATAAAATAACAAGCCTTGTAATAACACATTGCATACGGGTCACGAGATATCCCGTTTTTAGCAAATTGAACATTGCGGCCGGGTCACGAGATAAGTAATGTCTCCCTAACCGACGCTCGAATTGCGCACAAAACTGGACAATTTGGGAAGAGGAGATACGATTAGTCGAGCCTTGCGATTTATTTTTATAGTTATAAATTGTCCACAATTATAAAAACGAGCCGCGAGGCTCGAATAATCGTGTCTCCTCTTCCCAAATTGTCCATTTTTGTTTCCCAAGCTGAGCGTCAATTAGGGAGATATTGTACTCTAATAATAATATTACTGTACAGTAATGTCTCCCTTATTGACGCTTAGATTGTCCACAAAAATGGACAATTTGGGAAGAGGAGCGTTGCAAATTCGAGCCTTGCGGTTCATTTTTACAGTCACGAATTGTCAACAATAAGAACGAGCTACAGGGCTCGAATAATCGTGTCTCCTCCTCCCAAATTGTCCATTTTTGTTCACAAGCAGAAGGAAAATCAGGGAGAAATTACTGCATTGATCGTTTGTTTGTCATCTTCAACTCTTTGCTGTACTTTGTCGAGTCCGAATCGTGACGAAAATTTCTAGTTATTATTATATATTATATTATTATTATATTATTATATTATGATATCTACTTATTAGGTATAAACGTTATTCTGTCCATTAAAATTGGAATCTCTTGCCATCGATATTTAAACATTCAAGTAAATGTTCAAGCATTCAAGGCGCGCGATAAACATCAATTTTCTGCCCCATCTAAGAAATTATTGCAATCGAAGAATTTCTTAATCGCAATAACCGTGAAAAAAATGGGCACATCAAGGGGTTAACGTTTTTGCACGCTCGTTCTTCGCAGGTCAAGATATCATCGTCGTCAATACAATATTATTGGGTCGTTTGGCAGCTTGCTTCGTTTTACAACAAAAATTTCGTTTTGTAAGGGTGTTACAAAAGCATACTAATTCAGTATTATGAACCAGAAAAATGTCAAACAGTTTCATTTTTACTCTGGACATTAAAAAATCGTCTTTCATTCTCTCGCGAAAGGACGAGGCAACTTTCCGAACGACCCAATAATTATTATTATTCAACCCAATAATTATTATTATTCGACCCAATAATTATTCTGAAACGTGATTTATTCATTTTCTTTTCCGGAATCCATTTCGAAGGTCCAGCCGATGTTCAAAAGCCTCGCTTTTATCGCTCGACGATGGCAAATTTTGTTCCAGGAAACAGAACGAACGTTTTCCATCGAGCACAACAATTATTTATCGGAAGTTTCAAGTAATATTTTTCCTCGTGCGCGCGCGCCTCGAGTGTTCGCATAGTTCGCACTAACTTCGCGTATATCTCAACGGATCGTTGAATTTAAAAAGATTGCACAATTGAATTCGATGAGATTCCAGGAAAACCCGATTCCATTCGAGCCTCGGCAAAAAATGCGTTTGACCGCGCGCGAATGCAAATTTCGCCGCACAGCCGCGTTCACGATCTATGTATGTATTGGGTTGGCAACTAACTATTAGGGGGACCGGAAAGTAATGTCGTTTCTGCGTATATTTATCTGTTTGAATTTAATGCAAACAAAAACGACATAACTTTCCGGTCCCCCTAATAATTGCCGATTTCAGTTATAAGATGTCTCTCACTCCCATTTTTACGATATCCGTAAATGTTATATTATAAAATT